CTTTCTCAGACTATCCAAATATATATATATATATATATATATATATATATATATATATATATATATATATATATATATATATATATATATAGAGAGAGAGAGAGAGAGAGAGAGAGAGAGAGAGATAAACCTAGTGAGCCAGACAAACCTACCCAGGTTTCAATTAAGCGGATCGTCAGGGAAAGCTGGCTAAAGAGGCAAAAGAAATCAAAATTCGAAGGTTTTTCGAAACGAGTATAGTTACCTATATATATATATATATATATATATATATATATATATATATATATATGTTCAGATTCATATCCTAACGTAAACAAAATAATTTCTAATGAATTAACAGATTTTATTACTTAAACATTATTTTTAGTGGTTACCCATAATTGAGTAGATGCTGCGTTTATTTATTAAACAGTATATTTATTTATATTCGTCTACTGGCTTGAATATTCGTGAAAAACTTATTAAAGAAAAATATTCGCCCTCCGCGAAAGCCGCGCTAAAAAAGAGCATATCTGATGAAAAAAAAAAAAAAAAAAAAACGTAAAATAATCAAAATTTGATCGTCAAAATCTTTGTGTTATTATTAAGAGAAAGCCCAAATGATTTGATCTTTTATATGAAAATTATTTTTTTAAATCCTCTTTAGAAACTTTGGAATTTTGGTTAAAAATCTTGAATTTTTTTTGTTGTTTTTTTTTTTTTTGGCGTCAACGAGAGACCATAAATTTTTACGGAAATTTGAGCGTCTTTTTTTTTTTTTTTTTTTTTTTTTTTTTTTTTGCGGTGAAAAACACATTGATTTTCGGATTTTTAATTATTCAGAAATGAATGAAATCATTTTTGAACGTTTCTTCGACAGAAAATTTCAGTAAAAATATATTTTTTACATCGCTTACCCCACCCAACAAAACAATTCTTTAATTTTATGAAATTTCAAGAGATTATTTTTTGTAACGTTTAATGTTTATATTACTTAAAAGGACAACTTCTTGGAGAATTTAAATCATCGAATATTTTTAGGTCAAACAGGACCCATAGATACTGAAAATCTCTGATTCGTAAAATAAAAAATTCTATAAAAATACAACATTTTTCAATTAAATGATGTCTAAGATTAATAGCATATTTTATTTTAATTACTTTTATGAATAAAATATATTATGGACTAGTGTATACTAATAAATTTTCTTACTAATAATTTTTTTTTTTTCTATGTATAATAAATTTTTGCAAGAATTATTATTATTTTTATTTTCAATCGAATAATTTATAAACTTTTATATCATTTAAAATTCTGTATTAATTTCTATCGAACAAGGGATATTGTTATTAAATAAATCATAGGGCCAAAGCACCTAAAATTCATTAAAATATTAGAATTTTAAAAAACATTTGAATTTTGTCAGATTAATGGGTACTTTAAATAATATTTAAGAAAAGTATATTTTATCTTTGAAAATGTTTTTAGTAAAATATTGACAGATTTGTCAATTTTACATATTGATAATCATAAAAAAATATTCCAATTAATTTGTATTATGTTTGATATACAACAAAGTATTTCGATTATTGGGAATATTGAATAAAAGTGTCAAGAAAGATTTTTCTTTGTTTTAAATACATTTTAATCATTTAGGTATGATTTTTTTACGTTTATATATGCATACTGACACAAACATACGAATATATATATATATATATATATATATATATATATATATATATATATATATAGTGAACATAGAAGTCAACACTTAGAGGCGACAGTCTGTTTCATGCTAGATGCAATCGTCAGGCCACGAGTGCTTACACACGCTCTATCTCTGATATTGAGCACTTTATCCCATAATTATAGCACATCTTAAGACTATATTTCTTCATATATATATATATATATATATATATATATATATATATATATATATAGCTACTATGTTGGCTAACCAATCCCTATTGCAGTCACTCGACACGCACAATGATGAGCTTAGTGGCTTAGTGCCCTCAAGCGTTTCGTCTACCCAATTTCACTCACAAAGCTCAACCTGTTGTATGGATTTCAGGCACTTTCTAAATGTGCCATACTCTGGGATCGACCTCGATCCGATAACATCAGTTCCTGACAAATCGACATGAGACTCGAACCCAGGGGTCATGCTCAGAAAACGAACGTTCTAACCACTCGGCCACGCGACCTATCCCTATCCCCCCACTCTCTCTCTCCTCTCTCTCTCTCTCTCTCTCTCTCTCCCTATATATATATATATATATATATATATATATATATATATATATAAACGTTCGTTTTCCTACCATGAGACCCGTGTTTGAATCTCACCATGGTCTATGCGGGAGGAGTGTGGCTTCTTAATGTTATCCATTTAGGGAGACGTTTGGAAAAAGAGTCTGAACACCATATATACGCGTACTAGCAGCATGACCCGGCGTTGCCCGGGCTTGATTCAAAATTCGTACGACTCATACAGCAATCGCTATCACTTGACTTAAAATATTTTTGCCCTTTCTTGCTTTCAAAGGAGTGCCCTTTGCCGTGCTGATGTTGCTACATGCCTTACTTCTTGCCTATCTCACACAGCGAATTTTTTCTAAGCTCTATACTAAACATTAAATCTGTTACGAAAAAAGAACTAAATAAAATGAACACAAAACGATCAGCTTTAAAAAAGGACTCGTAACTGGAAAAACCAAATGAAAAAAGAATGTTAACAAAAAATACTTTTTCACACCCAACCCAGTTCTGCGGAATCAGAATCAACGTTGAGTTTAAGCAAGCGAATGAGTCAATTGGAGTAAAGTGCCATGCAGATTTAAATTTTTCCCACTTGTGACGAATGCAGTTATCGATTTATTTATTTTTTTTTTTTTGCTAGCATGCTAGTTAACATTCGTGTCAGTCAGCTGTTGGCTCTCACGCTGGCCAATAGAATCTTCCTGCCTATTCGTGGCAGCCAGCTATAGGCTCTCACTCTGGCCAGTACAAAATGGCCACAAACTACATGAAAGCTGCCGTAGAAGCATGAAAAAATCGATTATTTCCACTATCGATGGGAGTTGGGAAATGCAAAGTCGGTCTTGGCCTTTCCGCTTACTTGGAGAATGTGCATGTAAAATTTGGTGCAAATCCGTCGAAAATTGCGGCTGTGCATTCGTTACACACACACACACATCCTGCCTTTTATAGATAGAGATATACATGGGAATTAATTTTTAACTAATTTTACTCTGAAAAATGCCTACCATAATATCTTAGTATTATTTTTATCATTCTGTTAGTATTATGTATTATTTTGGTATTATCTACTTATAGTTGTCTAATCTTAATGGTCAAATTAAGGCTTGGTGTCATACGCTGATTAAGATATATACGAATAGCACTAAATTTTGACAAGTGGTTTTTAGTGCTTGCGTAACCAATAAAATAATGTAATGTTTAATTTGAAATCCTCTACGACTCTTAGCTGATTCGTCTGGGTGATGATCGTGTCTCAGCTCCTACCCACAGCTTTGAAGCACGCAAGAACGTAGAAATATCTCGGCTGGTGTCCAGGCGCGCTGTAAGTCTGCTTGGTGTGAGAAACCCCCGGTCTATAGTTAGACATCTCTGAGATGGGGTTTGGCTTTTCTAAGACTTGGATGATTTAGTGTTGGAATCGCAATAAAACTTAACCGGTAAAGGTTTAACTGAAAAAAAAAAACAAAAAAAAAAACACTAGGGAAGGAAAAATCCTATATCAACCAAGTTACCCTCATTATGGAAAGACAAATAACAAATGTAACAAATCAGGTAGAGAGGACTTGTACTGCCTATGAAGTATGTAGGTGTTCAAGAGTGATGGACACAACTCCTGCAACTGGGGTAATCGACTTGTACAATGATAATATTCATTTCAATATTTTCTCACATGCCAGTCAGTTATGTGCCATGCGTGTTACACGCTTAGGCGATCATGTATCTTTCGATACATGACTGACGAGGCAGATTTTTTTCCCACAATAGGTTGCCATTTCTTTCTGCGGTAGACAAGTTACCATCCAAGGCTATAGAACGGTCTGTCCTGCTATTTAGCCATAGCTGGGGAGGTGTAGAAAAAGAGGATTCATACCTTTCCCAAAGGTATTAGCACGTAAGTGAATGTAATGGAATCGACTGGAATTCGAACTCGGCACTTTCATTCTTCAATCCGAGCCGCTATCCATTACTCCGTGCTTCGATCTTAATATCCAGTAATTAATCCATGGATAGCGGGCCACAACCAACAGCCTTCGGTATCATGTTATTTTCTTCTAACTCTGCATTATTCTTGCCGTAGCTAAGATGGCTCCTTTCTGTAAGAGTTCCACTGGCAAATCTATGCCAATGTTCTTTATCCACGTTTCCATTCTCTCAGTCACCGTACCAACTGCAACAATGGTAACTGGTATGAAGTTCACGATCATACCAGTTGCCATTGGTGGAAATTCCTCACTTTTCTAGCTGGTTCTTATTAGACTGTTGTACAATGGGATACCTGCCGGGCATAGCACTTTTTCCATTCGTTCAAGTACTATCCAGGTCATTATTTACATTATTGATAATTGGCATTTCGCTCATAAATCAGCTGTGGTTTAAGGTTACCACCGGCCAGTAGTCTTTTATATTGAGGTTATCATCTGAAGGAGGGTTGTCAACCCAAACTAAATAGCCCCTCCTAATCATGAGACATGTGATGACCGTTGATCTCGCAATAAGGTTCATCCGCCCTTTGACAGGTTTTGTTTTTAATCCTGCTGGGAATCTAGTCACTGGAAGCCTGATAGAGGAACCACTAATCCGACCTTGCGGCTGATAGTACTGAATTACAAGGTACCAGTGACGGATTATTATTATTATTATTATTATTATTATTATTATTTCAGTCTCGCACATTGACACAGTCAATGGATATTCTGTTCTTTAAGCATGGTGCCAACAAAACTCCTCACAACTCAAGAATTCTTCG